ATCTACAAACGTTAGAAGCTCTGTTGGTGTAAACGAGCTTATAAACAATTTAGTTGACGGTCGTTGACGTACTAAATGAGTACATAGCAAAAGTATTAAGAATGGTCGAATGACTTTCGTCATTTGTAGTATTTCATTGTACGAGATTTAATTCAACGTATGTGTTTTTCAATTTTATATCTGTCATTCCCTGTCGCGCGAATATCATTTACAGATCTGAAGGCAAGACGATCGGTGTCATTCGAAGTTTATTCAATCCTTAGATCAACTTTGATTTATGAATTCCTGATAAGAGAGACGGAAGAAGAGGAAGAGCATTAAAATAAAGATGTCTGAAGATAGTGTTAGTTACTCTGTGCTATTTTATTGCAGCATTAAAAGAACAACCTTGCATCCCTTTGAAGAAGCCTTCCTGCGACGAAAAACGACGTTTTATGCTATACCGTATGTTTGTTGCGTGTTCTGCCAATCGTTCCACTTGTTCCACGATTTGTTCACCGACACGAGACCCTTTGCCTCGTCCTGAAATCGAGGGAATTTGAAACCAATTAGGCTCTTCTTTTAATGTAGAACTAAAGCAATTTAACACAGGGTAAGTTTTTGTTGGAAATTTACAAAGTAAAAGTCACACGATGTCACAATAATTTCATCAATCATTAACTACTGAAAGTTACACGATCATTGATTACTAAGCATTGAAAATTGCATGAAATTGCAGTAACATCACTCATAATTGACGAGAAGAGAGAAATTTACATGATGCCAAAGTAATGTTTTATAGATCACTGATCGATGAATATTACTAATCACAATACTAGTAATATTGTCAGTAGTTACTGAAAATCAGAATTGGGCGAAACTCTGTATTAATTTGATTAATGATTAACGACTATAATTAATGTAGAATCAGGATAATTAAAGATTGTGATTAATCTAATAATCATTCTTCTCTTATGATTCGATGAAGATAATGAACTTGTCGAATGAACATTCCTGTACCAAAAATATATCAGAGATTTATAAACGTTAATAAATCATTCAAATTTAACACTGTCATGCAGCAAAGAATACGTGTAAATATTCTCTCTAGTCTTGGTCTACCATTTGGTCTATTTGTGCTTGCTTTAATATTTAATTATACTGAATAATACAAATCTTGTGCTTGAAATGTGAATAAAATAACAGATTACAGATTGCAATAAAATGTAAATTAATCATTTAACGATTTAAAAGTTGGTGATTGCAAATTACAAAAATCAATCAAGATCACTAACTTCACCAAGAATGAGCAATGATTCATTGATTAATGATTACCATGAATTTAGTAATTAATTACAAAAATGATGACAAAATAATTGATTATTGCCCAGCTCTGAATTACAGTAACATGATTGATTACCAACCGTCAGAAATATATGGCAAACATCATATACATCCTCATCCTCAATTTCGTTGGATTACGTTTCTTTTCAATGAAGAGCAAAGACAAGTTCATTACCCTAAATAGGAGATTCGGCTGGTCGGTCCAAGAACCGAACAAGTGCAAAAGGTCGGGCCGTTTCGAATAAAGAGTGCTGGCTGCTAATGTCCCATGGGTGAGCTCTTCCAAAGCGTTGGCAGTTTTGGCAGCCGAGCTGACAATAACTCTCGGCGGTTCCAGTCCCAAGTTGCATCGTTGCCACTGATCGATAGGAGCGCGTCCACCATTTGGGCAGAGCAGCTCGAGCCTCGAGGAATCAGTGTTGTTCAAGGCAGTCGATGGTACGAACGCGACGTCTCCCTTGCCGTTTAACAAGCAGCTGAAAAGTGAAGTTACAAACAGGTGTCCTTACAAGATATAAAATATTCCCTTCGTGCGACAGATTTAGATGACGTACCGACTTTGTCACGTTTTTTTTTTTTTTTTTTTTTTTTTTTTACGAA